GGGGGGGTAAAGAGAGAAGGGGAGGGAAAGGGAGTGGAATTTAACTACACCAGGGGTTGCGGGTCAAAGATCTTCTGAATAAGATTCTGTGCAAATTTCTTGAAATAACCTTTAAAATTAAAAAAAAAATCATGATAAATTCAAAGAAACAGTGTGGGAATGATAAATTTCTCCGGATTACCATGGTTTTGGCATTGTTAGAAGGACTATTTCTCTTATTTTACGCAAACGTTGACATTTTGTCTTCTTCAGATTTCTGTGAAATATTTGTTATAAATATAATTGCGTTCATATAAATTCATAATTTATAAAATACCCCCGAAAAATTCAAATGCTGACATTATTAAGCCGCCTGAAATAAAAACTAAAATCAATACTTGTCTGTTAGTTTGTTTGTTTGTTTGTTTGTTGTTCATTTGTATCCAATAAACGTAAAAAACCGCTGAACTGAACAGATCCGCCCAACATTTTTAGATCCTTAAACTAAACGAACAGTCCCTTTAAACTACACGAACATACCCTTTAAACTACACGAACAGACCCTTTAAACTACACGAACAGACCCTTTAAACTACACGAACAGTCCCTTTAAACTACACAAACAGACCCTTTAAAGTACACGAACATACCCATTAAACTACACGAACAGACCCTTTAAAGTACACGAACAGATAAGAAAATTAAATATATTTAATATATTTATTTAGAAAATGGAGCAATTCGTCCTAAATATCTATTTTGATAAGAAAAATCTCAAAAATCAGAGATTTCTAGATGCTTACTTATAATGCCGGTCTCTAAAAATAAAAATAGTTTTTTTAAATTTTTTAAAAATCTCATTTTCATCTCAAACAAATACAGTTTAATCTGTCGGTTTTAAATTTCACGAATTCCTAGAAATTGCAGCTTTATATAAAAAATGTTGTTGCTATATCTCTAGCTCTGGCTTCCCTAAAGGCAAACATGTTAAAATATGCTAATACATTGATTTTCTGGACCATAATTGGCAACGTGACGCAGATCGATTATTAAAGGGGTCTTGACGCTTTTTAGTTTAAAATATTCCATTATATTTTGTTGAGCCTTTGTATGATATTATCATATATCTTGGGAACCCAGCTCTGTCTAGAGTTTTCCTTGTAAGTCAACCCATTCACAGGGGCGTACAAGATCATTTCTATAGGAGAGGGGGGGAAATTTATCACGCGTCAGCGATCAAAAAATTGTTGTGCCCCCCCCCCCTTGGCAACATTGTGCCCCCCTTAAAAAAAACCTTTTTTATAACATTTAAACCTGAAAACTGAAAGAAAGGAATAACATTTTAAAAATACAATCTTGAATTCAGGGTCAAAGATAAACTGGGTGTTGTATGTGATTAGTAAGTTAACTATAATTTTACTCGTGTTAAAAAACGCGATGTGTTGAGGACAAAAGGGAAAATAAATACATTGATTAAAACCGCGCTTTTATCTCTCTCACTAAGTTACTAATGAACATAATTTTTTTGTTTTTGTTCAATTTTGTTTGAGTTTATGCTGTACATTATTATGTAACATGTATGTGACATTATGTAATATTATGTAACACATTATGTAAAATTTATGTAACATTCTGGAGATAAGAATTCACAAACAAAAACTTTTTGAGAAAATAAGATCAACATATAAATAATATGATCATAAAGCTTCTCTCATAGCAAAATATTGTGGTTTGAAAATGTTCATTTACTTAGGTGTGCTCAAATAGATTATCAAGTACAATAGGTGGCAACAGAGAAATTCATTATACATTATACATTATACATTATACATTATACATTATACATTTTACATTTTTCAGTTTAAATTATACATTATTCATTTATAAATTATACATTATACATTATACATTTTACAAGTTGCATTGTAAATTATACATTATACTTTATACATTATACAATATACATTGTACATTGTGCATTATACAATATACATTATACATTATACATTAAACATAATACATTATACATTATACATAATGCATTGTACATAATACATAATATATTATATTTTATACATTATACATTATAACATTATACATTATACATTGTACAAAATACATTATTTATTATATTTTATACATTATACATTATACAATTTGCATTGTAGATTATACATTATACCTTATACATTATACATTATACATTATACATTATACAGTACTATACAATATACATTATACATTATTCATTATACATTGTACAAAATACATTATTTTTTATATTTTATACACTATACATTATACAATTTGCATTGTAGATTATACATTATACCTTATACATTATACATCAACTTTTATACACAATTTTCATCTTACTTACCTAGCTCTTCAATATGTTTTAATATGTTTTAACCTTTTCCAAGCTCAAAATCTTTTTAAAAAGTTTTCCACGCAATTCTTCATTTTCATAAATATTTTCATTATTGTCTCTTATTCGTTTATGGTCACTTTGAGAGCAATTTGCACACTTCATTACCATATTGCGAATTGCGTCATAGTGCTTCTTATTTGGGCAAGGTTTTATGAGTTTATTTTTGCGTAAATTTGAGTCTATGGATTTACGGGTTTTCTCCTTCTTTGTTTAGTGCGTTCAGATTCATTCATACATATTTTGGGAGGGCAGGGTTTAGGGGGGGGGGGGGGGGGTAGGGTTTAATGTCTATTGGAACAGTTGAGAAGAGTTATATCTTCAGAAAATGTTATTTTGATGACGTTTGGCGCCAAATTTGTTGCTTCCCGGATCTTGAGCACTCTGGTTTTTTGAATTTTTACTCGTCACAGCTGTAACAGGCTGAGCTCATGGTTTCTATGAAAGTTCATTTTTCAAGTAGTTTGTTGGAATCCCATCGTAGCCGTGTGTTTTCACGAGCTGGAGCCAGACCAGGGTATAAATAGGATGGGTCGGAGATTTGTCTTCAGTTGTTCTTTGGCAGTGCACGTGTTAACACCTGTAGGCCGACAACATGGTATGTACAGAGTGCGCTTAACTACAGATTAGTTTTTGGGGGGTTTGGAGAATTGGAAGACGGATCTGACAATAAAAACGGAAATAATATAAGAATGTTAAATAAAATTTAAACGAAAGAAAAATAATATAAAAAAATTTACTTTTTCACAAAAATTTAAAGTACTTGGGGATGTAGTCCTATGACACAAAAACTGAAGGATTCATACTTAACAGCTTTTGTAAACAAAGAATAAACTTCTATTAAAATACTTTATTATTGAATGTTTTAGCGTGGATTGATAGTATTGGCACTGGTAGGATCCAGCCTGGCTGCCCGTCAGCTTCAGGGAACCCAGCTCAGACAAGAGAAGTCTCTTCTAAACACATTCCCCTTCAATGCTCAGGCATCTACATCTGAAAATCATGCTCATGCTCATACAAATGAGAGACTTCCCAGTGTAAACATCCCTGCCCGTAACGCTCTTCAAGCAGCTGATACTGGTCTTGGAGGAGTAGCCTTCGGAGATGTGGCAGCTGCCAAAGCTGGTTCCGATGGTAAGCGTTGTATTGACAAGGTTGAGATGATTGAAGAAACTGAGTATGATGAAGTTGTTCAATGTGATCACTCTTATGACAGAAGGTGTCACACCACCTATGTCACCAACTATGAATCACAGCAAGAGGAGGAGTGCGAGGAGAACTACAGAAAGAACTGTTTCATCGACTATGAGAAGATTGCTTTTAACGAAACTGTTCAGGTCTGCAGAACACCTCTGGTGAAAGACTGTGATGTCCAGGGACCTGAGATCTGCAGAACTGAATATGAATCTGAGTGCTGGACTAAACAAGAAGAACATGATGTTCAAGATGATGTTGTTACCTGTGAAACTATCCAGGATGAGAAATGTGCTGATGAAACTTCTGGTTATACTACCTTAACCAAGTGCTCCAAGTGGCCCAGGGAGGTTTGCTCTGTAACTAAGAAGAATGTGAAGAAGTACACTCCTATAACAGGATGTACCAAGGAACCCAGAGAGCTCTGCGCCCCTGCAGGTTGTGGATTTAAGGAGGTAAATATAACAATTAAACAAACAGATTATGTTGGTAAATCATTCCATATGTTAAAATTGTCTCAGTGACTGAACTTAATAAAAGCTATAAATGTTTTAGGGAGCTGAGCAGTGCTTTGATAAAACCCAGACCATTGTCCAGGATGCCCCTAAGGAAGAATGTACTCTTGAGCCTCATAGAACCTGCGCTCATGTGACCAAGTTGGTACCCAAGCTTGAACCTACCGAGGAGTGCGTTGATGTCCCCAAGGAGGTTTGCACCAGGTCAAGGACCAACCCCAGGAAGGTCAAGAAGCCCGTTGTCAAGAAATGGTGCTACATTCCCTCTGCTGAATCTGGACTGGCTTAAACCGGTTTTCGACAGCTGAATCCTATCTTGAGAGATCAGTCATGAAGCTTTAAACTATCCTAGTCTTATATTGATATGAGGATCTTTCAATCTCCCAGTACCTTTACTATCAATCAGTATTGTAAATCGTGAAATAGGTATAAAATAAACTGCCAACATGTCTTTTGTAAATGTTTTTTGTATTATTTAGGTTGCTACTAGCTAATCATGTTCTTGTGCTCTAATATTATTTAAAACTTGGGCTCTATATGCGGTCCCTTTAGTTTCATAAGAAGTAATGAGTACACTATAGTTACCACAAACATGATTCGGAAATGCGCCCTTTAATAGGACTGGGAATGTAAGCTCTTTTTTAATCTATTTTGTAACCGTTATCTTTATATTAGTATTTAAAATGAATACAAGAAAGAGGAATCCAAACAGAAGAGCATGAGGGGTGCAGTTGCCCTTTTGTCAATCCCCGCCCCCCCCCCCCCCCCCCCTCCCATGAGATTCTTGGAAAAAGGCTAAGAGGTTGGGTATAGGTAAATGATGAGTTTGCTCCATCTAATAAGGATGTTGTCACCAAAAATTTTACTATTTGTATGACTATCTAAATTACTGAATGAGATGCCAGAATACCCCTTTGTGGCTTGTCCTTGGTATTTGTGTGTCTTCTTCAATACTCAATAATAATAGGCCTGGGCCATGATTTTAATAAAATATAATTTCCAGGTGCTGTTAATCTGTTGGCAACTATTTTCAGACCTTAGTCTGTGCAGCAATGTCTTATTAACTATGTTTACATTCCTCCCAGTAAATGCAGTCCATCTTCTTTGACGGAAAAATATGAGATTCTTGTAGCAAAAATTAACTCTAATTGCCAATTTTGCTCACTTTGGCTACCACTTTGATGAGCCCCTGTCAAAAGAAAAAAGGGTCTTATTGGTTTAAATTTTGATAAAAAAAAAACTACAGAATTTTACTCGGCACTGTCAGAAAAACTTCAATCGAGGTGAACGACCTAGAACTAAACGTCCAAAAAACAGTCATTTGCTTTGATAGAATTGGGTTACGTAGAAAATGCGCTTAGTCCTCCTGTTGACTGGTATTCCTCAACTCACTCTGTTTGTTTCAACATTGGTTAGCAGATGCAAATCCAACTTTTTAGAAGAGCATAAAGCCTATACAGTATACACTCTAATATTGGTTCTTTCAAACGCTTTGATAGAATTACGCTGAGAAGAAAATGCACAGTTCACCAAGTTCTCCTGTTGACCGTTAATACGTCCTTATTTTTGTCTTAATTGGTCAGGTGACGAACATTTCACTTTTAGCATAAATCCCAGGTTTCAATGGCCTGTGTCATTGTTAAACCATACTTATACATAGTATTTTTCTCAGAGCACCATGAATTTTTGTAAGGAAAACTCTGAACTAGACGTAGTAAACTGTGGCTGCGGTTTTCAGCTGCAAAACCACTCGGGGTTTATGTTCCAAGTGGCTGCCCGCATGAGCTAATGTGCCGGTCACCCAATTTTGGAAAGTCCGGTGCGACGGGTAGGGTTCTGGTCGTTTTTCGGAGCTAGCAGCTGCCTCATAATAGATTATAGATCTGAATCTGTATTTAGAAATTGTTCCAAAAAAACATGGAATCCCATTTAATAACGTCTTTCAAAAATCAGAACATCTTCCCATCTCTAGTCCCCCAACTGATTGTGTAAGAAATACGATGGTATTGAGAGAATGCCGCGTCCTGAACTCATGACCCCTGGTTATTTAGTAGTTAAACCTGTCATCACGTGTTTATACTGTTTATAAACACTTCACCTTTTTACCATGGGCTTAAAATAATACGTGAACTAAGCAGATCTGCAAATTGTGAAGAGAGGAATTCATAGAAAAAAATATTCCATGGTTGCAGAAACACCAGACTTTGCCTATCAAAATGAAATTGCACGGCGCTTCGCAACTGCAACTCATTTTAATAGTATTCTCAGCAGTAATTCTTGCTGGTTATCTTCAAGCAATTCTTATTGATACACTAATCAATAACATTTAAAAACGTTGCGGATTTTAAGTTTTTTTTGTTTGTAAATTTTCTGAATTGAAAAAATTCAATTAGTTTTGGAGAAATATTTTTTATCCTAAATGGGCATGAACTTTACATGGAGTCATGTGATGAGGTTTTACAAAAACAACTCGGCCCTTTAAGATTTCAAGATTCATTAATCAGCTGTAAGGAGTCCGGAAAGGAACTTAAATATTTCCTAAAACTAATTTTGGAAAAATCATTTTTGGAAAAATTCTTTTCCCACAGTCATCCAAAATCTTAAAAGTCTAAATTGACGGAAATAATTTTTCCCTAATAATATGCATATGTACATGCTTAAATTGAACGTATCAACCTAAACCTTTTTTTGGTAGTGAGGTTGTATATATAATGACACAATTTGTGCGTATTCCTTTGTCGTCAGCTCCAGTTGTTTGGGTGTTACTAAATTTATCTTAAAAAATAATACAGTACATGTAAATTTTACATAGATACAACTGTTTTTATTTTACAACTAAGTTTGTGTTTAATCCAATATATTTAAATGGAAAGAATAATCTAAGTGATCCTTTAACTAAAAGTGCGTCGTGTTAAAGTGAGAACAAAACTACGGAAATCGAAAATATCATCATCTCTATCATTCGATTTAATTTGAGTCAATATAGACAATATAGGCAATATAGACAAAATAGGCAATATAGGCAATATAGGCAATATAGACAATATAGGCAATATAGGCAATATAGGCAATATAGACAATATAGGCAATATAGACAATATAGACAATATAGGCAATATAGACAATATAGGCAATATAGACAATATAGACAATATAGGCAATATAGGCAATATAGACAATATAGGCAATATAGACAATATAGACAATATAGGCAATATAGACAATATAGGCAATATAGGCAATATAGGCAATATAGGCAATATAGACAATATAGGCAATATAGACAGGATACTTTCTTAAATTTAAGGTTTTTCGTGCAGATCCGATCCGTGCAATTCAACCCTGAAAGTAAGATGTCTTCGTATTTCTTTTAATTCTGACAATTCCTTCATTGTCCTGTACTAACATAAATTCAAAATCTTTTACCGAGAACTGGAATTAAAAATGAACAATTTTCCGAGAGAAAAACACAGATATCTCATGCAAATAAAAAGGTTTATTGGGTAACAGTTTGAATCTAACATGCCACTCCACACCTGCAGTAGTTGTTTGAAATAACGTCTCAAGTCCCTTTAAAGATTAAAGTTTAATTGAATAAACCTTGAATATATTGAACTGCAACGTCTCCAGTCCCTTTAAAGATTAAAGTTTAATTGAATAAACCTTGAATATGTTGAACTGTAACGTCTCCAGTCCTTTTAAAGATTAAAGTTTAATTGAATAAACCTTGAATATATTGAACTGTATGAGTTGTTTTCAATTTATCCCCGGGTTCTGGTGAATACTGCTGTGTTGAAATATCAACAATCGGCCATTTATTCTGTGAACAGATGCTATATATTTTCTTTTGTATGGAAATCAAATAGGAGGGAACTAGGGAACTAAAGCAGTTAAACCCTCCCCTCCCTCCACTCTACTTTTTCCCTTGACTTCCCGTTTCTCCCCTATACTTTTTCCCTTGTTTTCCCCTCCCTCCCCTTTACTTTTTCCCTTGCCTTCCCCTCTAACCCCTTTACTTTTTCCCTTGCTTTCCCCTCCCTCTCTCTACTTTTCCCTTACTTTCCCCTCCCTCCCCTCTNCCTTTCTCCCCTCCCCTTTTTCCCTTGCCTTCTCCTCTCTACCTCCACCTTTTCCTTGCCTTCCCCTCCCTCCACTCTACTTTTTCCCTTGCCTTCCCCTCCCGCCCCTCTACTTTTTATCTTGCCTTGCCCTCCCTCCCTCTACTTTTTCCCCTTACCTTCCCCTCCCTCGATTCCTCTACTTTATCCCTTGCACTCCCCTCCCCTTCCTTTACTTTTGCCTTTGCCTTCCCCACCTTCCCCTCTACTTTCCCCTTGCATTCTGTTCTCCTCCCTCCCATCTGCCTTTTTTTTTACCTTGTCTTTCCCTCCCCTCTATCCCCTTCCCCTCAATCCAACTGAAAGTCTCTCTTTCCTTCTATTTATCTTCTCCCAGCACTTTCCCTCTTCCGTCCATTCCATTCTCTTCCTACTACCTCCCTCCATAGTCCTAGTCTCCCTATTCTTTCCTTAATCCTCATTTCCATCTGTTATTCAATCTTTTTAACTATTTTATTCTGAGTCAACATGGTACTTTTCTTCCAAGCCTCCCCTTTTTCATCTCTGTATTTTATCCAGTGTTCTTTATACTTATTTTTTGCGGGATTTAGAATATTTGAAATTTAAAAAATTAATAAAAAAAATTCTGAAATCAATTTTTACATGTACGAAGAAAGTATTTGTATGTAAGCAGGAACGACAAGGTTAAAAGAATAAAACTATTGTAAGAATACCTTATGTTTACATTTACAATTATATTGTAAGAGATATCCATATTTCTCCTACGGATCCATCCTCCCTTACCATCTCTTACTAGAACCTATGATATCTGAATGTTATTGATAATCCTGCGGGTTAGGTTTAGATCTCCCTAGGGACAGAGTTTAGCTCCGGAACCTTGCAGATAGAACCATTGTCTCCACAGTTTAGATTCAGAACCTTGCAGATAGAACCATTGTCTCCACAGTTAAGATTCAGAACTCTGCTGATAGAACCATTGTCTCCACAGTTTAGATGGAGAACCCTGCTGATAGAACCATTGTCTCCATAGTTTAGATTCAGAACCCTGCAGATAGAACCATTGTCTCCACAGTTTAGATTCAGAACTCTGCTGATAGAACCATTGTCTCCACAGTTTAGATTCAGAACCCTGCAGATAGAACCATCGTCTCCACAATTTAGAATCAGAACCCTGCAGATAGAACCATCGTCTCCACAATTTAGATTCAGAACCCTGCAGATAGAACCATTGTCTCCACAGTTTAGATTCAGAACCCTGCAGACAGAACCATTGTCTCCACAGTTTAGATGGAGAACCCTGCAGATAGAACCATTGTCTCCACAGTTTAGAATCAGAACCCTGCTGATAGAACCATTGTCTCCACAGTTTAGATGGAGAACC